TCTCGGATTTGACGATCCCTCTCGGCAATGATAGCATCCTCCACCGCCTTGATGGTGCTGATGTTTTTAATCTCCGTTCGCATTCCCAGTGCTCGCGACAGGTCATCCGTTTTCCGAACAGACACATTCACATCGACTCTGAGCCCACCTTCCTCCATTCCAGAAACGCATGCATCGACCGTAGTGAGAAGTAACTGGACTTTGCGTACAAATGCAGCAGCGGTGCGCGGGTGGTGCATATCCGGCTCCGTAATGATCTCTATGAGAGGCACCCCGACACGATTCATGTCTAGCCAATGCCCAGTTCCAGACTGCGCCAAGGTCTTCGCAGTATCTTGCTCAAGCTGCATCTGTTTGATCCTCACATTAACACTTTCGCCATCCTCGTCGGCAATGCCATCTCGAGCCGTTATGGTAACATCACCGTCTTTAGCAAACGGTTTGTAATACTGCGTAATTTGGTATCCGGAAGGCTGATCCCACCAAAAGTAATGTTTTCTGTCGAAGTGGCTCACTGGATTGATCTCACAGTTGAGGGCCAGCGCAGCTCGAAGAGCCGGTATTAAGCTCTCTTTCTGGAACAGGGGTTGGCTGCCTGGCATTGACACGTCAAACAATGCCACGTGAGAGTTCGGTTCGTCGTTGAACGATGTGGTCGCAGAGGAGAACAGCTTGCGGCTCGCATTAAGCTGCGCATGGATTTCAATGCCGACGGTCAGCTCCCATCCTTCCACTGTCTGAGAGTTGCCTTTCGACTTTTGCTTTCCCTGTTTCTTTGCCAGTTTCGCCTCTTCCTTCAGCTGTTTCCGCAGAGGTACTGTGAGGTCAATCGACTTCGCAGCTGGCGCCGCAGATGGCATATGATGTAGGGCGCGTAGCCGGTTATGCGGCGGCAGGGTCACACCGCTGCGTCCAAGGCCACGGCAACTGGCCAAGCAGCCTCGCTGTGGGAGTCTCCCCTCGAGGAGATATCTGCCGGCTTCTCCAATTCGAGCTCGACTCATTTTGTCCTTCAGATTAATAGTCTTCCGTTTTTGTGTCGATCGCAATTGGACTTATCGCTGGATGCAACGTCTAAGGAAACTCGCCGTTCGATAATAGCTTGCACCGTCGTTTTGCCTCGTTGCCGCGACAAGGTTCCCTGGATGGAGCAGCGCGTCGTTGAGTGGCCAGAAGGTCTGAATAGGCTGCAGGATGCATGAATGTGCAGGTGCGAAGTGCTGGTGCTCTTTGTTTCGATGCAAGTCAAGTCGCGGTCGCGAATATGCACAGTGACAAAGGACCAACGACCTCGGAGTTCTTTTGACATGCATTCTCCTTTTGCGACCCCGTTGGCTGGACAAGATGCATAAGTATTGTGGGCCCGGACCAATGATGGCCTTCTCAAGCTGGTCCCAAGTCTTCTACCTATGTCACTTTTCTTCGTCAAACGGTAAACCTCCTCACTCTTGCGCAATTTGGCTCGGAATCACCGTCTGGCTTGAACCTCCAACCAACATTGATGCTTGGCGTCGAGAGCCCACTCCGATTTTCGACCCAGCATAACAATGCATGAGCGAGCACTCAGCTCGGCCAACGAAATTACCAGCCACCCGTCCATCATTCTCAGGGTTGCTCGACGTTGCTTCTCCTCCAACAGCCAACCATCATTGTAAGGAGTTGGGGTACAAGTGCGCGTCGGGTATCGTTGGGTGTGCCTCGAAAGATGTTTGTCATAGGCATTGGCATGCGCTAGAGAGCGGAAAGGTTTCGTGATCCTGCCTCTGGATCGTCAGGTTGTTTGCCACCTGTATCGTCATTGAGTCAACGCCCAAAAAATGCCATGGCATAGAGAACGATAACTTGGGCTCTTGGTGATCAGCAAGCACCAAGCCAACCAAGTGTATGTACGTATGGTTCCATCGTGTCTGCGCATCTCGCCCGCAAGGCAGGGATCGCGTCTATGGCTGCGTCTATGGCTGCGTCTTCGTCTGCCGCCGTCGTCGCGCATAAATGCATACTGTATGTGTCTCTGATTCATCTACACGTGTCATGGCCTCACTATGCGTCGTTTTGTGACCGATAATGTGGCCTCCTTCACTCGCATTACAAGGCGCCTTCAGCCCGCTTGAGATGTCCTCGAGGGGTGTATAACGTATGTCACTGTGTGATGGCATGTGCTCATGAGCATGTGTGTACCCCGTTTTGCTGAATTGATATGCAGGCTTTAGTGATGCGACATCGAATGAACTTGCTGGCCTTCCCGTACTGTGCACACAAGCGCTTCTGTTCATTATATGGCTCATATGCCCTCGACTGCCGACACCGTAGTTCAGTGTTTAAGGGGTTAGCCAGGCTGGTATTTTAGCTGGTTGATGTCCTTTTTTTCTGTTCTCGTCGCTGACTGTCCTTGGTGCTCCCCCAAATTCTCTCTTTTCTTCTGCTTTTCCCTCACTACATACGACTCTACTTGCGCATACATGTATATGGCACAAACTGCGAACGTAGCATAGACTTTCCCAGGCCATCGTCACCATGAGTGGGAAAAGTTACGACGGCAAGGCCGCAGACAAGTCGGCCACTGTTTCCGATACAGAGCATGGCGAGCACGACGAAGTGGCCTTTTTAGCACCGCAATATGAAGCGGAAGATCCATCATCCCAACAAGATGGCTCCGAATCAGACGAGCCACCAGGGTCTACTCTAGATGCCACATCCTCTCGCGCCTCGGTTCAGACACCGCCATCTTCAGTGGAAATTCTATCTCCTCAGCCATCACCTCATGTGCCCAGCAAAAATCTCATGACAGCTGCAGTAGAAGATTGGGAAGAGGACGACCCCCGTGACGATGCCGAGCTCACTCCACCATCGTCATTCTGTGTTACCGCACCTCCTTCAGTTGAGGCAGCACTCGATCCAAACGCACAAGAAAAGACCGTCAAAACTGCCAAACCAGAGACATGCACGCAAGACCAGAGGAAAGAGCCACATGGACGGAAGGCCGAGCCCGCAGCCCCTATCCCACAGAGTGCTCAGCAGAACACGTCGAGACGTCGACCAAGTGTCATGGATTACCTGGTCTCACAAGGCCCTGTCAAGTATCCGGCATCGGCGTCGGGAGCAAGCAGCTCTACATCTCGCAGAGTAGCTTCAGAGAGCCAATGCTGGCAGAACAACGATCAACCACCCACTCAATGGGGGCAGCCTCAGCCAACTCAATGGGGACAGCCTCAGCCAACTCAATGGGGACAGCCTCAGCCAACTCAATGGGGACAGCCTCAGCCAACTCAATGGGGACAGCCTCAGCCACCTCAATGGGGACAGCCTCATCCACCTCAATGGGGGCAATCTCATCCACTTCAACGGGGTCAGCCTCACTTAACTCAATGGGGACAACCTCTCCCTCCTGACTACCAAGGGGAAGATAGGAAGCAACAGTCTGGATGGACTGCTCAACAACCCTCTCTTGCGTCGGTCGACACATCCGTGAATGATCACGACGATCGTGGCTCAGAGGCATCATGCAAGACGGGCTTCGGCCAACCCTGGGAGCAGAATGGCCTGCCTGCGTTCTCATCAAATTGTAGCGTGTCAAACAATGACAGTTTCTCAGAGATATACGCAAGTCAGGGTTATCCTGATCTTGCCAGCCGTCTGGACAACATGGCGCCCAGCGGCTATCATCTCTTGGCCACGAAACTTTCCGGTGATTCATGTGGCCAACCCATCGCACCGATCTACCGTAAATTCGATGCTCTGACTCATCGTCTGTTACTGTACATGCAGGATGAGATTTCAGATTTAGAACGCCAGCTCATCTCTTTAGAGGCCAAGGACACGGCCACGAGAAGCTATGCAGGCGGCGTCATGCCAGCGTCCCAGCGGCACGATCGCTGGACTAACAGCAACCTGGCGCACCAAAAGACAGAAATCCTCGGCCTCATTGGCTACAAACTGAGTCAATACAGTAAGCAAGCTGTTCAAATATCACGAACCTCTTGTCCTATTTGGATCGCAGAGCTGACAATCTGACAGACCATGTTCTTGAGTCATTTTGCAAAGTACAGGACATTCCAGCACCGACGTGGCGAGATATTCACTTGTACAAATCTTACCTTGCCACGAGCAAGCTGATTGTAGATGACGAAACACACTTTCTGGATGCGTCAAGCGACCTCATCTCGCTCAACACGCAAGGCCTGCCTGCAGACGATTTGAACACCACCGTCCAAGAACAAACGCCAATGCCAAAGGCAGCCGAAGAAGAGCCATTCCACGGCTTTTTCAAAGATCATCTCAGCTCACCATCTGCAGGGCTTGATCACGGTATCGTACGCAGGCCTGAAAATGCGCTGTTTGTGCGACTGACTCTTTCTTGTATCTGCATGGTACTTGTGCCCATCATGATCTTTTCGGTCATACCTAGCTTCGTAGGACGCATGGCAATCGTTCTACTCATCGTACTCGGTGTCAGCATCGTCATAGAACAATTGGGTTTGCTGCAAGAGGTCGAACGGCACAGAGAATGGATGGCGTATTTTGGGTTATACTGTGGTGCGATGGCTGTCTTGGCTAGAGCAGTGAATTGATTGCTCAGCGTTGCTAGGAGGAGGCTGCCTGGAGTACCTTACATCTTTTTTAATCTCTCTATATCCGGTACTTTGGCTTGCACACGGTAGATTATGCTGCATTATATGCGTAACGATGAGACGAATAGAAACAAACAGAGAGACCTAAACATCATCACTTTTCAACGATAATGGAGGATCAAAGATCTGCCTTTCTCCATGCCTGCTATTTTGATCTCTCCGGATTTGCTTGAATCTATTGTTCAGAGGCCAGCAACGTAGAGTAAAGTTCCTCGTGGAATAAAGTTCCTCGTGGAAAGATGGCAAGTTTACGAGCTGTCAAAGTACGCACACAGCGTGTTGCAACGTTTCAAGGAGAGGAGAAAGCTGACTCCACAAATTTGTTTGATTACTTTATACTATCTAATAGCGTCAAACCGTCCATAATCATCCGGGCGAATGGTTTAGTGGTATAATACTCCCTTAGCATCGTATATCAGCCTGGGAGTGGTCCAGGGTTCGATTCCCTGTTCGTCCATACCTTTTTTCCTTGGTGACCTGCCCAACTTACCCAAGCACTGTCACCGAATGAACTTTTTGAACTTTGTACTGCGATGTTCTCGATGGATCATGGATGTGACTGTTCGTTTTGTCGCAGAGTATATAGGGGCATGTACAGCACAGACCAGTGGCCAGACGGCTGCGACAGAACTTAGAAGGATCATTTTACCCTCTGCACGAGCCTCGAAGTCTTTGCCAAGCAGCCCCTCGCAAGCTCCAGGGCTGGGGACCTCGCCTTCGCTATGTGTAAGTTGTAACTGCTTTCGCGTTGGTAAAATAGCAGTGGACTTGTTGAAGAGTTGCAACATGGTCTCGTCGTGGTCTCGACCCCCAACACATGCAAAAGAACCAAAAAGACAACCAGATTCGCAGCATTTAATCACCCTCTTTCGCGATAGCTCATGGATCATGATGTCCGGAGCGTTGGGGCAGCAGATGATGTTGTCCAGACTCCTCATGGTTATCGCCCAGAGCCGCCACCACCCTCTCGGGCCTTGGCAGCGTCAATGTCGTCTAAGCGGTCGAGCCGGAGGCGGCCAAGGCACGTAACGAGTGCTGAAACATCTACAGGCCGGCTATAAAAAAATTGAACTCTTGATATGTATCACTTTCACCGCTGGGGGGCGTGTGTAAGGTCTGCCGAAGCATGCTGGACGCGGAAGCAACGGCCGTCAGAAACACCGTCGTCAAGTTACAGCGCCACACACAGAAAACCATCAAATCGAAAATCTGGACAAGTCCGTCGAAAAGCCAGTCCAAAAGGCTCTCTGAACCCCTTCCCCCGGAGCGGCTTCGTGGGCGTCCATCGCCGTATAAGGGGCGTTCCTGGTTGTTCGGGACCGCGCAATCACCCCTCCCGCCCAATGGCAGTCCGCCCGCGAGTACATAGAGAAGTGCTGGAAATACGCCCGGAGAGCCCGGAGACGTTGGGAGACGTTGGGAGACGTTGGGAGACACAAAGAACAGAGAACATTCGGCACCTAGCCTGCGAAGCGGATATAACTGTAAGCCCGGGCCGCGTTACGCGGGGAGAGAAACGGCGCACGTGAAGACAGGTAAGGGTAAAGGAGCTATGGGCTCTCGCAGAGAGAAGACGGAGGCTTTCCAGAGAGATTCTTCCCTTCTTTCACGGCCCGCGCTATCGATCTCGATATCTTCGAAACTGGCTAGCAGCCTTCTTCTGGTTTCTCCACACCTATGCTCGAAATCATCTTCGTCGAGTGGGTGGGTGTTCGTCCCGAGTACTCCAGGCAGCAATCAATCAATCCAACCAGCGACCTTTTCCACCTGCTTGACCGTCATAGGTGTAGAGAAACTGTAAGAAGGCTGCCAGCTAGGTTCTGTAGCGCTCTGCTGACCAATCACACGCAGACTTCTGTGTATCACGTGCCAGAGCACCCCATCAGAAGTTAGAGCCAAGCCAGTATCTATCCAAGATCGACCGGCACACCTTTACGAAAAATATGTTTTGCAACCCGCTGTTGCGATGTTGGCTGTCTTAATTGTTTCAGGAGATTCCGATACCACATATGTATGCACTTGGACTTTCAGCGAAATTATATCTACTCTTTTCGTTGAGATAACCAGGATTAAAATGAAGGCGTTGAGAATTGTTCACCTTGGTGCTCTGTTCATGTGTGTACCTTCTTTTTTTGAAACTATGGTATTATAGTGTACTTTCTGCATCCCGTTGCAGCACACGTGGGGCGAATGGTTTAGTGGTATAATACTCCCTTAGCATTGTTTCTCCGCCTGGGAGTGGTCCAGGGTTCGATTCCCTGTTCGTCCAATTCTTTTTCAACGGTAACCTACTTTTTGGAACTTTGGACCTGCCTACGTTCTCGATGCTTTTGTTTGCAGATGTCGAAGTTCGAACTCGTTGGTACATACGGAGTACATATTGCCAGCGTTAACAAATGGTCTTTGCGTTGGCCGCTTCTTTGTCTGTACCACCCTAGAGCCAAAGACGTTGGCGACGTGAAGAGGGGACATGGACAAGCTATTCGCCATTTGATGTGTTCTCTTGACATCTCGTTATTTTATGCCATTTTGTTGTTTGTGAATGAATGCAGCGAAAAAACTTTGATGCGCCTAGACGGCTTGATCAGAACTGAGGTCGCACAGGTATGTATTGGGTTTGTGTTGTTTTAATCACAGGTTTAACTGACGTACCAAAAATCTGGCTATGTCCATACATACCTACAACTTGCCCTTCCCGATTTATTTCTTTTCTTTTATTGCGGCGGCTATTTGAGCAAGCTGGGAACGTTGAAAATGGCCACCGCCGCCGAAACGGCAAGATCAATTTGTGCGACGGCCACACCGCAATGTCGCCGCCAATTGCTCACCAGGAGAATCGGTGAGAATCGAGCGTCGTCATGCGCCGGAAAAGTCGCGATGCAGAAGCGACGATCGACGGCGCGGAAGTGAGCAACTGAGGAGTAGTTGTGCGTTTGGTGGTGCGTTTGGTATACAGACTGTAAAAGTGTAACTTGTAAGCACAGGCAGGTGACAGAAGTGAGCAAGAGGTGACCGCCTTGCGAGTCAACAGCGCAGAGCTATGTATGTATGGGTATAAAGTCCGACATTGTACTAGTCCTTTCACCCTTTTCTAGACCAACATTATTACTTGCTTCTAGATATATCTATCGTTATCTGTTCAACAGACAAATCCACCGTTCGATTTTGGCGTCTTCTCACAGAATTCCACTCCAGTACATACTTATTTATGTATGTATGTACCCTGTTTCCTCCTCAACATACGGAGTACCTACTGCCATTGACGTACTCCGTACATACTTGTACATTATCCTTTATTTACGTATGTATTACATACGATTTAAGTACCTAATGCAACTCGGGTGGCATGTAGCTGGGGTACTACCTGGGTACCGAGGAGGTACTCAGTACATACATAGGCCCACCTGGACCTCGACGTCGGAGTCCGGACGGACACTTGGCGGGGCACAGCTGGCGAAATTCTGAGGGGACTGGGCAGAAGTGAGGTGTGACTCAAGTGTTCTGCTCCCACACCAACGATCCCTCGCCGCTGGCACCTCGCAGCGCCTTGTCCGAAGTACACGACTTCAATTCATCATGGCGTCACAGACCAGCAGTCCCGCAGGGGATCTTGCTCACCAGATCCTCCACGCGCTGGACAAGAAATCGCCCCTCCTTTCCACCGAAGCCTTCCCCGCGATACCTTCTACCGAAGTCAAGGGCGCTCTCGACAGACTTGCTTCGCGTGATATGGTCAAATATGAGACCATTGACCGTGAAGAAGCTCTCCTGGAACCCGAAGGCGAGCAGATTGCCACCAATGGCAGCCACGAGGCTCGCGTTTTTGAGGCCCTGCGTGCTGCTGTCGAAGGGTTGACCATACAAGAGCTCGAGAAGGCCATTGGTGACAAGAATGTTGTCAAGATTGGCCAAGGCAGAGCATTCAGGGAGAAATGGATTTCAAAATCCCAAGGTGAGACTATCTGCCTATCTGCTGTCGCATTCATATTAGAGATGGTAGCTAATGCGACTGATGTCGCAGATGGGAAATTTAAAGCGGCCGTGAGTAGATCTAAAAGTGTGACGGGAATTCGCGCAGCTTGGATGGGAAATGGTGGCTGACGTGGAAGCCGCTTAATAGAAAGAATCTGTCCAAGACACGACCCAAGAGCAGATGCAGACGATTCAGTCGACGCGATCATGTCCCGACGCCAAAATGCTGGCCGATCTGAAGAAGCGCAAGCTTGTCCGAACCCAGAAGATTATCAGTTTCAAAATTGAGAAGGCTGACAAGTTCGCTCTCAAAATACCCGAAGTCGCCACCGACTTGACCGCCGACATGATTGCTAGCGGCTCATGGAAGACTGCCAATTTCAAGGGATACAACTTCAAGGCTTTAGGTGCGGATCAACAGTCTGGCGCTTTGCATCCTCTAAGCAAGGTTCGATCTGAGTTGAGGCAGATCTTCTTTGAGATGGGTTTCCAGGAGATGCCTACAGACAAGTAAGTTGTGGCCATGTTGCCATGTTTGGCTACGCTGCCTGTCAGTTGCTAACTTGGTGTCAGGTTCGTTGAATCTGGCTTCTGGAACTTTGATGCGCTTTTTGTACCGCAACAACATCCCGCCCGTGATATGCAAGACACTGTACGTACTGCAGCGCCTGATTGGCAATTTGCGAAGCGACCACCAAAGAGGCTGACCATAGGTGTTTGTAGTTCTATGTCTCTGATCCCAAGGAGGCAGATATGCCCGGAGCAGGGGATGGCAATGACCAAGGTGACTACAAGGCTTATTGGGACAACGTGCAGGAGGTCCACCAGGTATGCCAGGACAAGATATGGACCCAATACTTGCACGGAGAACCTCTTTATTGATTCATGGCTCAGGAAGGCAAATACGGATCGATAGGGTACCGATACCCTTGGTCTGGAGAGGAGACTCGAAAGCTGGTGCTCCGGACGCATACCACTGCCATCAGTGCCAACATGCTGCATAAACTGGCCCAGCAAAAAGGCCCTGACGGCCGCCCACCCCCCGCTCGATACTTTTCCGTCGATCGTGTGTTCCGTAACGAGACTGTAGACGCCACTCACTTGGCAGAGTTTCATCAGGTCGAAGGTGTCATTGCTGATTATGACCTGACTTTGGGTGGTCTCATGGAGGTAAGATTTCAAAATAGACTGCCTTGCTTAGGTCAGACGCGTAGGAACAGCATGACTGACTGTAGCAGTTTATGGATATTTTCTTCGGCAAGATGGGCATCACCGATCTTAAATACAAGTGTGCCTACAATCCTTGTAAGTGACCCGCATCGCGACCTCTTTTCTTCGTGATGACGTCGACTAACATGAGCAATAGACACGGAACCGAGCATGGAAATCTTCTCTTATCGTACGTCTCTCCTCTCTGCCGCCCTGGAAACAATCGCTAACACCGTGACAGACAAGGGTCTTGGAAAGCTAGTCGAAATCGGCAAC